AGGTCAGAAAGAGTGTCCAGTAGGACAGGTCAGAAAAAGAGTGTCCAGTAGTACAGGTCAGAAAGAGACTGTCCAGTAGTACAGGTCAGAAAGAGTGTCCAGTAGTACAGGTCAGAAAGAGAGGGTCCGGTAGTACAGGTCAGAAAGCGTGTCCAGTAGTACAGGTCAGAAAGAGAGTGTCCAGTAGGACAGGTCAGAGTTTCCGGTAGGACAGGTCAGAAAGAGTTTCCGGTAGGACAGGTCAGAAAGAGTGTCCGGCAGTACAGGTCAGGAAGAGAGTGTCCGGCAGTACAGGTCAGAAAGAGAGTGTCAAGGGTCTCGAATGATAGTTGGGAAGTGGTGTTATCGTACAATCCTAAAAGCAGTAGTTGCTCCATGATTTTCTTGTGTGGGGTTTTTTTTCTTTTTCTAAGACATCTAATATGCAATGTGCTAGATGTCTTAGGAATGTTTTACTTTAGTGCTACTAATATCATCAATGAATGACACTGTATTAATGTCTCAGCCGCTGCTGTAGGGAAGCATTACCCTTTTGTCAAATTTAGTTGAAATCAACTTCTCAGTGAAACATTGCTAAAATATAGTACCCTAGAACTGTGGGACCAGGACTGGTCCATTTCCTGTTAGGAACCAGGTCACAGAGGATCACTGTCTGAGTTCTGCTTCCCGTCCCCACAGCACCCCCACCCACCCCAGTTCCTAAAATATTGTCTTGCACAAAACCAGTCACTTGTGCCAAAAGGTTCTAGTCCAAGGCCTATTGGGAACCAAGCAGGGCCCAGACAGTAGGAGGTGAGGGGCAGGAGAGTGAACAAAGCTTCATCTGTATTCACAGGCGCTCCCACCACTGGTATTGCCGCCTGAGCCCTGTTACTGTCAAATACCCATATCCCTGCCCTGTAATCAATGGAAAAAGTGTCTTCCATGAAACTGGTCCCTGTTGCCACAAAGGCTGGGGAGGCTTCCTTTAAACAAAAATGCACTTTCCTTCCAGCTGTGGGAAGTGGGTTTCTGAATGCTAAGACATCTCACCCTCTAAAGCTACAGTCTTGGAGACATACCCATGGGTTACGCCAGTGCAGAGGAATCCTGCCAGCTAATGCCCTCATCAATAGATCATCCTCTTCTGAACGCCAGTGACTTCTCACTCTCCATAAAAACCTCTCAAAAAACATACTCATGGATTGAAACAGATCCTCTGTTGGATCCTCTTTATTCCCAAATCAGATGTTTCACTAATGAAAACCACAGGCTAATGGCTAAAATGGTGATGATGAGGTCATCCTTGTACAGAATTCCACAGATTGTTCTTTATAATGATAGGAACATTCTATCACCGTCGTAGTCTACGTT